AAAAGTAACTTTGCTCACAAGGTAGCATTAAACTACAACATTTGCCACAGGAGATTCCATTCTTTATGCAAATTTGTTCCAGATATTGTCCTATTTGATGTTTTGGAAGAGAAAGAAGATTTTAAAGGAAGAAAATTATGTTATGGCTGAACTTTTAGACCTCTTTCAATATACTTACAGAATCGTATTCCTCATTTGCCAATATATTTGGTGCAAATGCTTATCAGTATATTGAGATGTAAGTCAGCATTCCTTTGCTTTTTTTTCTAAAATCGCTTGAAATCATCAGGAACTTCCACCTAGCAGATGATCACTGTCTGATTTTAGGACTAGATGAAAACTAAATGATTACTGGCTTTAAAATAAGGAGACATTTATTAAGTTCATTCTTTGCACTGTATGATAATGTGGAAGAAGATAAAGGAGTAGAAAAGCAAAGTAGAATTTAACACAGTTCTTTTCAGAGAGATTTTTGAACCACAGTAAGAATTTCATAGATGGAGGAAACTACAAGCTTTAGAATGAAATGTCTATGTTTCTCAGCCAAGGAAATACATTAACTAAGGTTAAATGACATAACCACAGCATGTAGCTCTGAGAAAGATGGCAGAAGGGAGGAGCAGGAGATGTATATGGGATTGAAGAATGATTATTTGAGAACACGTTGAGTGTTAATAACACTTGCTGTGTGTCAGGTATTATGCTGTGTATGTTTACATATTTCTATCTTTTTTACATTATTGCAACAATCTTCTCTATTAAATTTTATTAACAAGTCTAATTCAAAAATAGGCACCTGAGATGAATGCACACTCCTCAGATGAAGAAATACAAATGGCAAATAAATATATGAAAAAATGTTCAACATCATTAGTCATTGTAGAGATGCAAATTAAAACGAGATTCCATCCCACCCCAGAAAGCATGGCTGTCATCAACCAATAACAAGTGCTGACAGGGCTGTTGGGGAAAAGGAACTCTTCTCCGCTGTTGGTGGGAGTATACACTGGTGCCACCATTGTGGAAATCAGTGTGGAGATTCCTCAAAAGAATAAAAACTAGAATTAGAGGTCCCATTCAACCGAGCTATTCTCCTTCTGAGTATCTTCCCAGAATTGAAAACATCATACCACAGCGATGTATGTGCATCCATGTTTGTAGCAGCACAGTTTGTAATATTGGAAGCAACTCGAATGCCCATCAACTGAGGATTGGATAAAAAAAAAGATGTAGTCTTTTTATATAATAGATGAAACTTGAGACCATACTCATAAAGAAAATCAATCAGACTCACACATATAAACATCGTATTGTCTCCCTGGTGTGAAAAACTGAAAAAGTAAATAAGATCCAAAATGTACAATAGATACTGTGAAGTGGGAAGAAATTGTTCAAAAGGAAAAAAAGGAACTAAGATAGGGAAAGGGGAAAGGTAGGAAGGGAAAAGGAAAAAAACACAGGATAGTTTTACTAGTTTCTCTTAGTCCATTGAAAAATTTGTGCTAATATCATTTGGAGAATTTTTTATGTCCATATAGTACTCTGAGTAACTAATTTAAAGTTAACAACACTCAATGTATTAACTATTGTTATTCTCATATTATTTTGTTATGAAATTTTGTTTTACTTTTTTCAATAAAATAAAAAACATTATGTAAAAAAAGACATGAAGCAACTCTCCCAAGGACCTATCAGCATTATATCAGAGATTTAAGCTACAACTTCCACCTATAAATAAAGTCTGCTATATCACACTGATTTGATAGGCAAAAGCATTCCAAGTTTTGCATTTGTTTGAAGTAGTAAGTAGGATTAATTTTTGTGAAAAAAGTAGCTAAGATAGATTGGTTAGCAAGAATAGAGCTTCCTTGCTAGACACAATGAGATCTATGGAGGATATTGCATTTATAAAACATTATTGATGTTCAGTTTAAACTTATAATTCAGAGCAATTTTGTTGCCTATAAAGAGAGGTTATTATAATATTAAAGCAAAGAAGGGAGGAAGGGGAAAGAAAGAAGAGAGGCAAGAAGGGGGACTCAGGAAATACTTTCCTTATTAAAACTTAGCTTAGTTGATGAGAAATATCCTGTAAATGTCTATCAATGACTATGATAACTATTAATATCTTACTCAGCTGAAGTAAAAAAATACATATCCTATCAGTAATTAGATCTCTGCAGTTAGATGAGAGCAAATATAATTCCTTCTCATACGTTTCTTTTTCTTCGTATCTTCTATAGGATGTCTGCAAAGATGTTATAATTCCAAAAATCAGTTTACCTAAAAAGAAATACATACATGGAAGTCAGACAATTTATTAATTGAAAACATTGTTAAATTTTAATCTACAAACTAGTTAAATTTGACATAAAAAGACAATGTATTGCATTCAATTAGAATGCAAACGTTTCACTATTCTGTCAATGCATTATTTTTTATGTACCTCTGTTTTACAAAATAATAAGTACATGCATAGAACAAACTTTAATCATTTGCACCCCTCCAGTAATCCCATTACTTTCCCTCTTCTCTAGCTCTTTCCTCTTCTTTAGTACTTTCTCTTCTACTTTCCTGTTATGTCTCTCTTTCTCTCTGCCTCTGTCTCTGTCTCTGTCCCTGTCTCTCTCTTTTTCTCTCTCTCTCCTCTCTCTCTCTCTCCACATAAGAGAAACATGCAGTATTTCTTTCTGAGTCAGGCTTATTTCACTTAACATAATGTCAATACACTATTTTCACCACAATTTCCTAATGAATTTTTTTTAAAACAAGTTAATATACTTCATGCAGAACATTAACATCTTTACACGTTACCATATTTAATGGATAGTTTCAGGCAGATTTTAAAAATTTTATTCTGGACTCTTTGTAAAGTTATCAGAGTTATTGAACTGATTATGCCAACATAATTAAAGAAAATATACATGCTTATCTATTACTAATGTGGGATTTGTTTCTGGTCATATGCTGTAGCTCAAGAATTTAGATTGGCCTTTAGAATTTCCCACATGGCATAAGAATTACAGTAGATCTCACTGACTGTATTTGTATCTGTTTCTGTTTTTTAATTTCACAATATGAAATTTTGAATTGCATGTGATGTTGTCTTATACTGCCTTAAGGTTTTTTCCAACTCATCTGTTACACTTCAGTGTGATTTATTAAAGTGGATTTCCCACTGATGCTTTTGAAGAAATCAATAGGATATGAGGCATTTATTTTTTGTTGTTTCTCTAAAACCATCTGACAAGTGGGTAGTTTATTCCTCTTTGAAGTTATTCTAAGTTTTGCAAACCAATCATTACAAAATTTTCTTTCTTCTTCTACTAGTATTTCTAAAGCTAAATTCATTAATCTGTGTTAACTGTATTGACTAATTTATTTGCAACAAGACTCTACTACATTTTTAAAGCCTCTCTACTCTTTATTTTGAAACAGAATGTTTTGCAATCAGTTTAATTTTCAAGATATGTCACTGACTACTTCACTTTTATGTTGTGTTACCCTATGAGACCTCCTGGATTAAAAAAAATTAATTGAGCATCACTGACACTGTTTTGAAGAATTTAAATTAATATGTTTTCTTTTAGCTTTTCTTCCTGACTTTGCACTTACCAACTCACACTGCATGCAGAAGTTGCTTTGGTATTTATTTATGTCCAAACACAATTACATGGATTCCTAGAAAATTCCTAGAAAATCTTACCAGAGTTATGAAATGGAAAACATTTACTGATGATCAGATCATGGAATCCCATACAAATAATGAAGCACTGTATTATTTCCTGCTAGTATTGTTTTTCTCACTTTAGAAAAATTCAGCATAACCTTCATAATACCAAATTATTTATAATCATTTATATTCCTTATGGTAATAGTAACTTTATAACCAAGTTTAAATTGTTAGCCTACCTTAAAAATGTATAAATATATGCATTTTAAACTAGCCAACTTCATTAGGGAACATTTATGATCAGTCACAGACCACATGAAACTTTTCATGATAATCATTTTACGTTAAAAAATTGTGCATTTTTAGGACTCAGAGAGCTTCAGTCACATTATTACTTTCAAAGCCTTCAAACTCCAGTTTAACTATGCTCCCTGCATTGAATTTCTGTCTGTGTTTTAACAATTCATAGGCTCTGACTTTTACTCTTTCAGTTTCCTTTAGAATAGAAAATTTTCAGGTGGTCTCCTTTGAAAATTCCTTATAAATCTTCTTTACTGAGAATAAGCTCTCTCAAAACAATTATAAAAATAGCTTCATAATGCAGTTTGCCTAGTTTGCATACTCAGTCTGTGAATTTCATCGGTGAAAAAAATATAAGATGTATGAGTCTAATGCAGGTTGGAACAAGGGAGGAAAAGAAGTATTAAAATAGAGACTGCTAATTACTAAATATAGCTTCCCTGTTTTAGATATTTTTGGTGAGGTTGAAAGTTCAAACTTTCTATGAGCAATTGAAGTAAAACAATCTTTTAAGGTTGGGATTTATTTTTATATTTGATGCTGAAGATACATTCGATTTTTCTCTGGAAAGCTTGATAAAAGCTTTGAAGAAAGAAAAAAGAAAGACTACTATGCAAAATCTGAAAACTTAGTGGTGTCTAGAATTTGACATAATCTTCTCCTTATTTTTGGATGAAAGTATTTTTCCAAGTAGGAGATGTTATTGATAGCAGCAGCAAAAGTAAAAACAAATATCTTATTAAATTTATCATATTTGTAATTAGGTGACATTTAAAGTTGGAGAAATTCCATACTCTTTCCCCTTTTAGCTGTTTTCACATTAGATCACTGTCTTTTAAGAAATGAATACTCCGAGAGTGTTGGAAACCCCCTTCCCTCCAGAGCTGAAGACTAGAATATTATTTTTCCATTATTTGCTGGAATATTTCTCTTTGAGGTACTTTAAGAAACTTTCTACACAGAATACTTGCTGAAGAATATGTTGTATGCTTCTCTAAATTCTTCTCTTCTGATTTTTGTCTTTCAGTTACTGGCTGACAAACAAAGTTCCCATCAAAAGACCCAGCACAGGTCTCCTCATGTACACACTTGCTACAAGATTCTGTGATGAAATTCACCTGTATGGATTCTGGCCATTCCCCAAGGATTTGAATGGAAAAGCTGTCAAATATCATTACTATGATGACTTAAAATACAGGTACTTTTCCAATGCAAGTCCTCACAGAATGCCATTAGAATTCAAAACATTAAATGTGCTACATAATCGGGGAGCTCTGAAACTGACAACAGGAAAGTGTATAAAGCAATAAAGCACATTTCAAAACATGCAAACAAACTCGAAACGCACTTCGTTTCTGAAGATGCTTCTGAAGATTTGAAAACAGGATCCAAATCAAAGCTGGGTTTAGCCATTCATAAATTAACTGAAAGGTTGATAAAAGAAATTCACGTGAAATCCACTACCAGCTGATGAAATACCTGCAAAGTGCTCTAAAAAATAAATATTGTGACTTCAAGGGTCCTAGTAAGTGCCACTTCCACTAAGAATACAGTTTGAATGTATAATCAGTAGTGTTTACAAGATCCAACAATGCACTTCTCATTAATTAACGAAGCAAGTATGTTCATCCTTGTCCGGCTGCCACTGCAACGCCAAGCACATCAGAAGAGGAATCCAGGAACACAACTCAGCCCTCGGGAAGTTAAACCACCCTTGTCAGCAGAAAACAAGATGGAAACACTCTGAGCAGTGAAATCCGGAAGAACAAACAACTCAAGTAAATGCCTTCAGTCAGGACTCTGGTCTGATCATGAATTTTGCTTTTGTTTATTTTTGCTTGTCTTCTAGAATCTCATTTGGTTGGAGAACCGGGTGCTTAGAAATCTGTTCTGAGATACACAAATAGGAAATAAATATGAATGAGAAAAAGAAAGGTCAAGTAATAATTTCTAAGGTTGTATTATATTTCTAAAAAAGCAATCACACAAGGATTTTTTAAAGTATTATTTTGCACAACTGTAAAACTCCAGTTTATTTTTCAGTGGTATAAAAGGTACCAGCTAATCTGTACCCCTCAGTAATACTGAACCTTTCGAAAACAAAGAAGTTTCACATCATCTGAGATGGTAAAATTAGCAGACAAAACTGCACTTGTGGTACCAAAGATTGTATTCATGTTTCTACACAGTCAATGGTTCTCCTTTCATGAAAATAATGTTATTTACATGAATATGTTATCACCCTACTAATGTAAAAGTTGTCTCTAAATGTTTTAAAGTTTCCAAAATCTTATTTTATTTAAAGGAGAACTTCTATACCCTCTAAATTTCATAATTTTGTGGGAGTATTTTTCCTTTACAGTAAATGTTTGATTGATATAGCCAACTGGTTCTTAAACATTCCGCCTGTTATTCAAATACAAAGATTGGCACATTATTTATATCACTATTAAATTTCTTAGTGCAGAAATAACATAATTAGTACAGTGTTCTTTACAGAGCAGAGGCGATTACTCTTAAAACATTCAACAATGAACCCGTGTGTCCATAAATTGCACCTAAATATATTCAATTCCCCAATAGTATTTTTTAGTTAAATTTAGTGACATTATCAGTGAATGTGCTTTTAAAGGAAAATGAATTTATTCATAAAGTGATTTAATGCAATTTAACATATAACAGTATTAGGCAATTTTCTGGTAACACACTGGGAGGTAATTCTGATGTCAACTGTTTCTCTGGAAAGCAGAAGCGCTGTGTTTTCACTTCTTCCTTAGCCAGAAGCAACTTACATGCTTCTTGTTTCTTGGTGAATGCAATCTGAGAAAAGAAAAAATAGCAGGAGAAATATGCATGTTTTATTTCTTGCAGAAGGCATTCTGGGAAATAAATAAAAAACATATGTATGAATATATACATATACATATTCATGTTATCATGGGAAAGGACATCCATCATGGTACAGTTTCCGATACTTTTAATAATATGTGGTATTATTTTTAAAACATACTGTATAGAAGAACACAGGGATGAAGAAGATAATATCTGTGCAAATTCATGTTTCTCTAAGAAAGCAGAATGAAATGCACATGGGAAGCCCACAGCTGAAAATGAGTAGAACTTTAATGTCTTTTGTCATGAAGCCTCTTATGTATTGGAACTTTTAAAGAAATATTTACATGATTTGAATGTAAAGTTGAATAGTTTGATTTCCTTCACAAATGAAACAGGTGGTTTAGGAAATCTTTGGACTATGTGCAGATAGTATGTTGTTCTAATCACCTTTAACTTGAATTCACCAGAAATCAGAAAGTTACAAGCAAATTCTTGCATACAAAATCCACCTTGACACTCAAAGTATGTCTTCAAAAGCAGCAGTAATGTGCAATACCTTGCTATTTTTACTGTATTTTCAACAAATGCATTTAAACCATCTTAAGGCCACAGCAAACCCATTTCAGCCACTCCGTGTTCTGTGCACTCGTTTATCTCGTAGACGCATTGGGTAGTGCCTTTTTAGCTTTCTCCTGTTGCTTTGTTACCCTATGCTTTGCGTACTCTAAATACTCGCCCAGCTCAGAAAGTGTTCAGCGTAATAAAGGGCTTCAGTATTGACTGAGACTACTTTTGTTCATCTCAGGGAACTTTCAATACCCAAGAGTAAATTCGATGAAAGGTATTTAGTGTTCAAATAAGACAAACTATACAAGACCATTTCATTCCCTGCTGTAAACTGTGCCACCTGTCCTCTCCCTCAGCATCCCCTGTGGCCTTCTTATAGGCATAGATGTACTTCAAGGAGATCAGTGAAGACTAATATCAAGAATGGTAAACAGATTTGAGTTTTAACAAACAATGGGCATCATGGATCACAAGAGAATCAAATTATAAATATACACTTGAAGTATTTATTTTATTCTTCTGCTAATATCATATATTTGCGGCTTTAATTTTTTTTTAAGTTTCTTTTTCATGATTTAACCCTGTACCTGGCAAAGCTCTGGCAGCTGATTGTGAACCATTCCTGTCCTTTAGGTGATGTAGTTGTTACTCTGCTGTTGACACGGACAGGTTGTGGAAATCTTTTCATCATTGTTCCCCAGCCTATTCAGTAATGAAGTTGCTGAAGTAAAAAAGAAAATTCAGTGACAGGTTTTTCAGGGCAAATCTAATGATTCAGCCCACAAGACTAAGGAAACTACTGTGGAAGATTTTTTTTTCCTGTCTGAAAGAAGGCGCTGGGTGTTCCAATGTCTCCATGTGTTGTAAATCATACGAACTGTGCACCAATGGTTAGTGGGAATTTCTGCATACATGCTTACAAATGGGATTTATTTAAATAATGCTAGGGGTAGTGTACATACCAACTAGTTACTAAGCTACTACACAGGAATAAAGGTGAAGAAAGTAATTTATTTCCAATTGAGCCAGTTAGTCATAATGCACATAATATGGTGTTTGGTTCATGAAAGGGTTCTTTGCGTGTGGTTTTTGTAAGGACTATCTATAGTTGTGGAAGGGATGTAAGAAGAGTTGTGTATAGTTAGTTGTTACCTCTACAACTTTAGAAGTTTCTCCATTATACATTATCCACATACCACTGTTCTAAAATTTGAGTGAGGGTTATTGTTTGTATTTGATAAAAGAAAATCCAAATAAAGCCCACCTAGAAATAGATATTTTATTATATATGTGCTATAGATATATCTATATAGTACAAATAGACATGTGTAATGCATATATACAATGTTATATATGTGTATCTGTGTGTATACACACTGAGTCTGTAATACTACACACTAGATTTGTGTTATGCTGATAACTTCAGGGTCTGCACTGTGAACTACCCTGGAGATAAGACCACTTTAGAATAAGGAAGTTCTTTTGAGACTTCTGTTAGAAATCTGCTTTAAGAGAGATCTACTTTATATCTGAATTTTGTGCTGTTCATACCTGTAGCTACAATAAGGGACAGTATGTCCAAACCTTAAGGGGAAAAAAGAAATGAAAAAAGATAAAAAAAAAAAAAAGACCCTTCAAGCTGGCAGTGTATTTGAATTGCAGTTTTCAGATTGGGGCTCCAGCCTTTGTGTTTTTCATTTAAGTAGCACCTTTTAATAAATAGTGTTTCTGTGTGTAGGCAAAAGCACAAGTGTTTCCAATGTATATAGCAGGAAGAAAAAGAGTTTACAGAGATAGCATTGCTGCACAGGATAATTGCTACTGAGTATTTCTTATACCATTTGTGAAATTCAAAGATGAAGTTTATTCTGTCTGGTTCATTCTGTTCAAAACTGTTTCCCTATTGTTTGTGTATAGCAATTGGGTATTATTGTTTTATCATTTGTAAAATTGTAAAATAAATTGAACCCTTTTTTCAATCTCTCATATCTTCATAGAAGTCTTTGATTTCACTTTATAGGTCAGTAGTGGGCAATGATTTCAGAAAAAGTTTCTGGTAGTACTTTTCCCCCCTCTCCTTTGCCCCAGTCATTGACAATAAGGCTAATCTTTACTTTAAAAATGTGCAACAAAATCTACACAATATAAATGGTCCTATGGTCATCAGAAAGTCCTAACAGTGGTTTTTTTTGTGTGTGTGTGTGTGTGGGGGGGGGTGACCATTCTGTTCATGATTTGGGGAATGAAGCATTACACAAATGATGGTCTTTAAAAGCCAATTTATACTCCCTCTGACTCAGATAATTGTCAGTTCAACTCTATAGATGAAGAGGTCAATGAATCTTCACACAATATGGATTCTAGGGCTGCCCCTTGACTTGTGGCTTTATTTGCAAATTGGTATTCTTTGTATTACCTTCCAGGAGATAATTTTGAAAGACTACACACTTGAATTTTCCTGCATGTCTTTCTGTAACTTACAAATCTGTTTTCATACTGTATTCTTTTCTGAAGAATACTTTAATTCCATTGGGTCATTTTCAGCATTCTGTGATTTTGAAATATTTTTGTAGACTACAGTGAATCACCAATAATGGGTAATAACATAGATGTTGTTTGTATGTATGTAATTGCCTTTTCCTTTCAAAATCCACTGAAAATGGATTATTCATATTAGAATAGAAACACATTTGATCAGACCGAATTTCACTTTTTCTTACTTTATGGAAGAATATTTGAGATTTTGACATGAGTTTTGGTGACTTTGATTCAGTTTTCAAAAAGGCAATGTTAAAGTATGACTTGTTTCTACTGCCAAATATTGTTTCAAAATACTTCATTTAAGAATTAGGTTTAAGTGTGTTCTGAAATTGTGGTCAGATTTGCAAAAACCACTCATTGTAGTACATTGTAGTTTCACAGGCATTGCAGAGAAATTGAGTGTTCTCACACAGTTCCAGACTGCTCTCGCAGACTAACAAGGCACTGTACTCTACAACAATATCTGAGAAGATTTTAAGCATTAAAATTTTCTAACCAAGGTGGACCAAATGTCTTGAAATTTTGCACTGTTAATACGCAAGAGTCAGAGTAATATTTTTTATTAACTATCATAGAATTAAAAGCTGGAAACTTTTAATTTGGTTTATAATATAACTATGTATAGTGTCTTACACAATGTATCAGGCAACAATAAATTTCATTCTTATTCCATTTCCTTATATTACACATTATAATTTAGGATGCAGGTATCAAAATGAAGTATTCATTTGGTTAAGCACAGACTCTGCACATCGTTGATTTAATTTCTGAAGAAGCTTTGTTTTTGTCTAGATGACTGAACCAAATAAATCAAATTTCCAAGAGCTTATATTCTGGTAGTGTAGAACAGACTGAATTTTTGATGATGGTAGCCTAAAAATTTATGGAGGCCAATCACATTTTATTCTTATGTTAAAGAAACTTAAATTATCCATATTCTAGACCAAGTACAGTTTGGAATGTTTTATATGAATAAGCATATTTAATATTCACAACAAGCCTGTGAGATGGGCACTGCAAATATCCCAATTATACAGGTAAGATTAAGAGAAGGATTATATCATGTGCCCAAGACTTCACATCTCAAAAGTGGAAGAACCAGGGCTTGAACCCACCGACTGCAATGTCTACCCTCTTAACTATCATGTTGGGATCGTATCTCCTCTTAACTGGTAAAACTTTCCCCTCTTAACTGGTAAAAATTCCTAGGAGTGTGGGGTAGCAAATTGGCTCTTTAGTGAGCACAGGTCAGAAGTGCAGGTAAGTAGGTAGAAAAAAATATAGAATTCAGACATTGAAAAGTCTATAAGTGATCCATGCCTCACTACAGTGCTAACGTATCTAATAGCAAGAATATCTGTGTCTTCCAGGTCAGTATATTTTCCATGATGAGCTAGATGAAAACTGCCATTTCCAAATATATAGCATCATATACATATGTATATATATGTATATATATTATATATAGCAAGTTATAGCGTAAATTGGCTTGCTCTTATGTTAGAATCTTACTTTATCACAAAAGTATCACAAAATTTACCACATTATAGCCATTTTAAAGTTGAAGTTCTTATCCAAATATTTTGATCACTCCATTAGCAACTGTTCACAGAAATCTCTTAAATTTAAATATTTACAAATGGGCAAACCTATCGCTTTGATAGTAATTTTTTTCCTGCTTTCTCCATCTTCTTGGGGATGGGATGGGAGGTAACTAATCTTCAAATTATAGGCAGTTAATGACCTCCTCTGAGTACTGTCATTGTGTATGAGTCCATGTGAAACAGATAATCCTGGATATCAGAAGAAAATTATTGTTTGATTTATTATTAAAAGATGAAAAGTTTCAATCACTTAACTTCCTTTATTAGTGGAATATCGATAATCTAATTACATGAAATTCTTCAATGCCAATATAAACATAGCTATTTAATTATTTACTTTGTTTCCAAACTGGTAATTCATGACTCAATCTGTAAGGTAAAACTTTTCAAACACAAATTTGCAGTAGTCCGTGATGTGCTCTAAAGATGTGTTCATTAAATAATGTCTCCACAGATCTCTCTTGGAAATTCAGAAAATACATTATCTTTGTAAAAGAACTGTAATCTTAATGTAAATGGAGAAATTTCTATGGTCTAAAAAAATCATAAATTATCTTTAAAATAACTTCGCCTAGCTATAAAATTAGTATCTAGAGGACATATTTTCATATATACATTATAATAAAGATAACACATAAATTTTTCATCTGCACAAACTGATACTTATTTTACGAAGTGTTTTCCCGCCAAGTAAATATTTTATGTTTTCAAATATTGAAAAATATTTAAACATACATTTCTTCTTGAAACTATTATTTTAATGGAAATTATTATTCTTTTGTACAATATTTATATGCCACAGCTACATTTCTCAGAGCAGTCCTACTAAACAATACCATTCATTCTAGGTAGTACACGTGGACCAGTTATGCTTACGGTCTTTAGGAGCACAGAAAGAAAAACTTCCTCTGAAGTGCCATTTTGCATTCTTTGGAATGACTTGGATTATTACTGCATACACACTCACTGCTATGTCTCTAGCCCAGCTTCCTAGGCCCGGTCTTCCCAATACTACACAGATGGGCTGACTACGAGCACATCTGCCCAGCATGCCACAATGTAAACACCCTCAGCTGGTAGCAGATGTTTTACAGGAAAGTGCACTGCCACTGGAGTTGTTCTGCTTTGGATTTACATGAGTTAATCTCTGTGGTGGGGCATCAGTCCATCTCCCTATGCTACTGAATTGCCTACCTAGGCTTGAACCTGTAATCCTTCTGCCTCAGCCTCCCAGAGTGCAGACATGAAGGCTGCATACTATCACAACCAAGTTGTAACTGAGTACTTCTGAAATTAACCATTACACAATACTTTTCTGTCCCATGTATGATTGTCTATATTTACTTTGCATTTCCAGCTTGAAGGAAAGCACTATAAAAATATCTTGTGCTTAATTATAAGTGATGAAGGCATTAAATGATTTATTTTAGTCACTTCAATCAATATTTCCAAATTTTCATGATTTTTAAGGTTTACATTAAGATCTCTCCAGAATCTACAAATCTACAAATCCACCTGCCCAAATATTCAAGATCTACACTATGCATCTAGAATTTCTCAGTCAGTGACCACTCTGCCTCTCCTGTATGGTCTCCTCTTTAGTGTTCTTTTAAAATGTGCTTCTGGAAAATTGTTCTTCAATATTTTTCTTCTGTCTCCACACCCATAAACATCTTATCTATTCTGAACCTTTGTAGATCTTATCTGTTCTGATCCTACAGCAGTAAGTATATAGTCACCATAAAGAAGATAGTAAAATCGAGGAACTGATCCATAAAAATGTGAGTATTTATACTTCACTCTAGGTTCCCCCTAACACACAATTTAATGGGTTAATTTATTTATCAAATGATCCATGGACACAAAACCTGGGAATCAGGGAAGTGTATCAGAGAAAAACAGAAAGCCTACATCAAGATATGTTTTCAAATTGCATGTCTCTGTGAATAATGGGTATTCAGTCTAACATAGTCTATCTGAGGGGCTTTATGCTAAAAAATATAATTAAGGAATTTGCTGGGCCTTGTGTACACATTTGGAACCCCTTGACACAAGAGGTTGAGGCAGGAAGAACACAGGTTTGAGCCCAACCTGGGCAACTTAGGAAGATGCTGTCCGAAAGTAAAGAATTAAAAAGTCTGGTGAAGTAGGTCAGTGGTACAGTAGCACAGAATTTAATACCAAGTCTTCCCCACTCCGTATTCCAAGATGAAAGAAGGATTTACTCATCAGAACCAATCCTCCACTGAGTGTCCCCATGAGTCATTCAATCTCTTAACTTCCAAGTTACACATGTAAATTCCAAGCTACTTCTCAAAGGTGCTACATACTGTGCCTGAAAAAAAGCATTCGAGCACATTAAGAGAGGTATTGAATGCCTGGCTTGAATCGCATCTACACACGACTGTGTGCTGAGTCAATGGCTGGAATCCAGGCGAGGCAGAGGGAAAGGAAGTAGTTTCCAGGTGTTTGACATTACCTCTTTGGTGCATCACTTGCGTAAACTTGTGTCCTCTGTTAATTGTAACCATAACAAATTTCCCAGTTTATTCAGAATCCTGCCAAATTTACAAAGACATAAGGTGGTTGGTTTAGCAACTATAGTTCCTTTATATGCAAATCATTCTAAGTTTATTTCAATTCATTTTACTCTTTCATCATTCATTCACTCTCATGAGTATGAGTTTCTTATCTCAAACATTCACTCCAAAGAATCTGAGCACTTAGCTATTATTTTGTAGCATTTATTCCCATGATTATCCACTCAGTTTGTATATGTAAAAGCTTCAGAAGGTACTCAGTGATACTTCTGGGTTCAAACATAGTCTTCCCTCCCTGCAC